CGCCTTTTCACACATGTAGGATGTATGGCTTAGGGTGTAGGGTGTAGGGAGTAGGGTGTAGGGAGTAGGGTGTAGGGTGTAGGAAGTAGGGTGTAGAAAGTAGGGTGTACGGAGTAGTGGGTAGAGTGTACACGGAGTGTGTAGGGTTTAGGGTGTGCGGAGAAGGGTGTATGGACTAATGTGCAGGGCGCAGGATCTAGGATCTAGGGCATAAGTTTAGGGCGTCAGGGTTGTAGGGTATTACCGTTTCCAAAAGTATGATCGACATGTGGGTTTGACCCGTAGGGATAGTAGTAATAACTTGAAGCTTGTCTCAGAGTCCATTTCACTACATTGTCTTTTGCATTAGTATAGCCACAAAGATTTGATCCTGTCTCGAACGTACAACTGCCTCCAATGTCACTTCCTGTCAAGAAAGGAACACACCAATACTTACTTACAAGTGAAGATAAATTTCAGCTCAACGTATACATTAGCACATAAAATATCAGTTACAGTGCGACAAGCGATAAAAGATTGTATAAACGTTTGTGAATACATTATCGCCGGCCGTACTTTTGCACGTCGCGTAGTAGCAAGAAAATGATGGATAGTGCTATATTTATTATTTATTATATAATCAATTCCCTTTGTGTCCTCTGATTGGTTGAAAACTGTGCTGTATCATTGAACAGAGCACTTTACTAACGCTTTCCGCACGTGCGCAGCCTGCTTTCCAAAGTAGAGTATGATAACATCATTAACTACAGCAGAATTTTTCTATTGAAAGCTACGAAGCTACGAAAGCAAGAAAGAATTGCGAACCGAAGATCGAGTTCTCACATATCTTTCGTCCCCGGCCTATAACGGTGATTTATGAATCCAAATGTGGGASGAGAGATATATGTCGACTATAGTTAGCCAAGAATGATGTTGATTCACCTGGTGCGGTTTTGTTGCGACAAGCAACCCCAGCATCATGTCTGTGATTACAGTAATATGAATAACGTCCCCATGTACTATGTGAACAACTTGTCAAATTTTTCTCTGTACCACTGCAGTAGACATAATTTAACCAAACTTTACCAGTACCACTTCCAAAATAGGCATACGAATAAGTACTTTTGGCTCCTGGGTATCCAAGTTGTCGACAGATGACATGACCATCTCTTATGTCCCAGGAACTGTCACAAATTGTTCCCCACGTCCCGTTATGATATACTTCCACTCGGCCTTCGCTTTCTAAAGATGAGTTCACAAGACGGACGTCACCAGCAAACTGCGAATCTTGACCAAGGTAAATGGAAATAAACATTAGTAGGTCACATTAAAGCCAGATATAGTCATATTGATCCTACACTGTTTGGATATCCATTATCACTCGTATGTGTTGATGCATAAAGCCAGGATGGAAATAAAGATAATGATGATGATAATGACAATGGTGAAGATGATGTTGATGTTGATGATGATAGTGTTGAGGATGGTCATTGTGATGATGAATAGGATGATGTTGGTGTTGTAGTTGTTGTTGTTGTTGAAAAAGATGCTGTTGATGATCATTCATGGTGATGACGATGATGATACATGGTGGTGATGATTATGATGATGATGCATGGTGATGATGATGATGTGTTAATGATG